GTTAAAGTGGCTCTATTTATTTATATTTTCTTCATGCCCAGACATATATAATTTTACATGACTGAGATCATGGATAAAGTGTCTTTGAAGAAAATGAGTGTTGTCTTCTCTTGAAAAAGCCTTATTTCCAATGCTTGGAGCAGCCTCTACCTTAAATAGACTTAAATTTGATATTTTTTTGGAAGTATTTTTCTTTTATTTCAAGGTCAAGGAAATATTATAATGGAGAGGGAAAAAAAAAAAGAAAGGACAATCAAAAACAATACAACTGGGCTAAAAGTCATGGCTGCAAATTTAGAAGGAACTGATTGATTGAATGAAATGAGATGTTTGTTTCATCACTCCAAAGGCTTTGACTGACATGAGATGTAGATATTGCATTGTTTTAAACCAGACTTCAGTGATGTTTTGTACATGGGCAGAAGTTACATAGCTATGGGTCGCACTTACTACAGAACTTAGCTGCTTGTTCAGAAGTGTCAAAATGCCAGGTGTCAAAAACAACTATTCTAAAGAACCAGAGGATTCTAGTTCCCGTGAGCAGATTTCATGTTATCTCGCTTTTTTCAGAGTTTTCAATAAAATCATCAATGGAGAGGGAATCAATTTTAGAATTGTTTCTTTCTGGGTTTTAAAATAAAGACTAAAATTTTCCCAACATTTAAAACCTAAATTTATGGCAGAATATGGACTTCTTCCCTTCGTGTTTGCTCCCAGAAATAGAGTTACATTCCTGGCAAGGTTCAACACATTCTTGGCTATTTGGGTCAAATGGGCTCCTTTGTGCCATTTCTCCTTTACCTCAGCAGGCGCATCCCAGCCGTGGCTCCCAGGTAGATGCGGGTGGACCCATGGAGGTGGGCTGGAACCTGCCCCTTGACTTTTCCCATACAATCTTCAAAGGCTTTGGGGGCTTCTTGGGGATTATTCCCATAGCTGGAGATCCCAGAGCCTGAAGAGCAAGCAGTTAGTACTTGTCAGCATTTCCAGAAGCCAACAATAATAATACAACTTTTAAATAAAAGACAAACTGGCTTTAAATTTTACTGTTAGGTTGTGGTAGGGAGTTGAAAACAGGTAGATGTGCTAATTCCCAAGGGTCACACTGATCAGTCCTCTCCCAACCTCTGGAAGGAATAAATTACAAAGGTGAAAAAAGTGAGCTTTAAAAACATGTCTTCATTATGGAAATTTCAAATATAAATGGAAGTAGAGAGAATAGTATAACGAACTCTAAGCACCCATCTCCCAGCTTCAACAATGATCAACTCCTACTTCATCTGTTCTCTCTCCACTCTCTTCCCACAAAGTGATTTGCAGACATCGTATCACTTTATTCCCAGTATTTCAGTATGTATCACAAAAGGTAAGAATTCTTTGAAAGAAGCAAAATTAAAGTACCATTATTACACCTACAAAAATTAAAAACAATGCCTTAATATCATCCATTATTTGGTTAGGGTTTGCATTGCCTCCAAATTCATTCTCCTTCTCCCGCTCTGTGCCTCTTTCTCTCCTTCCGCTCCCTCCCTGCCTCTCTCTCTCCACTCCCCTTGTTTGTATAAATCAGGTTCCCAGTAAATTTTATACATTGCAATCTTAAGCCTCTTTTAATCTATTGGTTCCACCCTCCCTTTCTATTTTTCCTTGTAATTATTATTTTTTTAATCTTTGCAATTTCTTTGTCCTGTAGAGTTTCCACAGTGTAGAATTTGCTGATTGTACCCCCACAGTTCAATTAACATCTTACATGGTCCCCTGTATTTTCTATTAATTGCTAATTGAATGTAGAGGCTTGATCAGATTCAGGCTTGAAATTTTTTGGAAAGAATACTTTATAGGGATTAGTGTGTGCTTACAATAGAAGGCACATAGAGTCTGGTTGTCTTTCTTTTTGTGCTTACATCCGTTATTCCATTAGGGGTTGCAACATAACGATATTTATTTATTTGGTCCTTTTTTTTTTTTTTGAGACTGGCCACGCCACGCTCAGCCAGTGAGCGATCTGAACCCACGGCGGGAGCGCTGCTGCGCTCCCAGCGCCGTACTCTCCCGAGTGCGCCACGGGCTCGGCCCAACGATATTTATTAATTATTTTTTTTAATTTTTTTTTTACTTATCACTACACAACTTATGAAAAATAGTGATATTTTAATTCTACCTTTTGTTCTTCATTTATTGCCTTAAAAGAGAAAGACCTCCCCAGCGTTAACTATTGGGTTACTCTATGCTACAGTTTGTAAAGGAAAGGCAGGATAAGTGCTTGATTACTTCCTTTATTTACCAGCTTAAAAAATGTAGGTTGCATCTCCAACATCCCCCTAATTTAACCAATAAGGGATCTTATTTGCTTTTTACATCTGTAGGAAAATATGAATTTAAAAGTATTTGAGTGCTTCAATTTATTGCAGTTATTCTTATCGATGGTCTCACCTTTGGCCAGTGGGTTCCTCCTCAATGTGGTCCCTAAGTCTTTTTGACATGACCCTTAAAGCCTTTGAGAGCTTCTTTGTTTTCTGAAGTGACAGAATATATCAGATGATTTTGTACATTTCCTGCCCCAGATCTGGAATCCACCATTTCTCCAAGGATCCCTGGTTCCTTTTATTAAAAAATAGTATTTAGTGTCCAAAATTTGGAAGCTAGGATATTCACTGAAAGCCTTTTCATAGGACAGACCTAGGACAAACTTTATTTAAGAAAATATACATCATGAATTCTTATTGATACATCCAATTCAAATGCAAAACTAGAAGATTTTACTTAAGCTCTTTGACATTACATCTTTATTTTCTTTTTCCTATGCTAAAAATCATGAGTCCCAACAACTCCAACATAACTCATTTGCCTTACTTCACAATCTACACACAACAGTCTCAGTATAACAATACCAGCACTGCCACCAACTTTGTGATTATTAAAAACAGTTTTACACATTTTTAAAAGTTTTTTTGTCAAATTACCATGTTTAAACATATTAAAATACACTTTTTATATGGCTATGCCAATAACTTGACATAAAATTGGGCTAGTTTGTTTCATTTACTCTTAAATTTTAGGAATCGTCTTTTTTGAAACTCGATTTTGTTTTATAGTTATTGAAATAGTTCTAAAGTCAAATCTTCAAAACTAGATTTATTCAGAGACATCTAGCTTCTGTCTTTGTCTCCTCTCCCTATAGTTTCTTTTTTAAAAAAAGTTTATCTATTGTTTGTTTAATATAAGCAAATACATATATATTTGTATCACCCACCTTTTAGATAAATGGTAGCTTAATATATACACCTTTCTCCAATTTGCTTTTTTGGATTGAATGGATTGAAGACTTTAAAAAAGACCTCAAACTATAGAACTCCAAGAAGTAAACATAGGGGAAACCCTTTACAAAACTCCTAGAAATAAACATAAGGAAATGCTTCCGGATGTAGGACTAGGCAAAGACTTCATGAATAAGACCTCAAAAGCACAAGAAAAAAAAATGTATATATATATATATATGGGATTATATCAAACCATAAAGCTCTGCACAGCAAAGGAAACACTGAACAGAGTGAAAAGAAAACCTACGGAATGGCAGAAAGTATTTGCAAACTATACATCTGACAAGGGGTTTAATATCCAGAATATACCAAGAACTCAAATAACTTAGTAGTAAAAAATATATCATCTGATTAAAAAATGCGCAAAAGAGCTAAATAGACACTTCACAAAAGAAGACATACGAATGGCCAACAGGTACATGAAAAAATGCTCAACATCACTAATCAAATGCAAATCAAAACCACACTGAGATATCATCTCACCCTAGTTAGACTGGCTATTATCAAAAAGACAGAAAATAACAAATGCTGGTGAGGATGTGGAGAAAGGGGAACCTTCCCATACTGTTTGTGGGACTGTAAATTAGCACAGCCATTATGGAAAACAGTATGGAAGTTTCTCAGACTATAGATAGAACTACCATATGAGAAAATTATGTTAAGTGAAATAAGCCAGGCACAGAAAGAGACATACTACATGACCTTATTCATAAGTGAGAATTAAAAATAAATAAATAAAAGAAAGATAAAGAAAGGAAGGAAGGAAGGAAGGAAGGAAGGAAGGAAGGAAGGAAGGAAGGAAGGAAGATCACACTTCCAACCTTCTGAAAGTTCCACCTTCAGAAAGGTGGAACTTTCAGGAGAGAACAGAATTGTGGTTCCTAGAAAGGTGGGAGGAGACAGGCTAATGAGAAATTAGTTAATGGACACAAAAAATGATTATGTTTTATAATGATGAATATGTTAAGTATCTTGATTTGATCATAACATATTGTACACAGGTATTGATATTCAACTCTGTACCCTACAAATATGTATAATCAATTACGTTTCAATTAAAAAGAAAATAGTGTGGTCACTCTGTATCTCCCACCCTGCTTGATTTCTCTTCACAGTTCATCTCCCTGAAATATCATATGCGCATTTATTTTTTTCTGTCTCCTTCATTGGAATGCAAGTTCCATAACACATACCACCAGAGACTTTATATATATTTTATTTCTGAATTTCCAGTGCCAAGAACAGTTCTTGGCAAATAAGCACATAAATATTTATTAAATGAATGGCTGAATCGATCAATCAATGAGATTTTCAAACCAGCATACACTTCTATAGTAAGGGGATTATGTAGTCCAATCTAAGACAGACAAAATACAGTCTGCTAGAGCTGGTCTCTGGATAGGAAGTGGTTAGGAGTAAGATAGAATAGTGAAACCTTCAGGAATGTCACTCGAGGGTCTATTTGCATAAGGTCCCTTAAGCCTCCTAGAGGGAAAAAGGAGATGAGGCTCACAGCCTCATGGGATTCAGGGGTTTACAACCTCAAAAAGAGATCTGAAATTGCTATTTCAATATGGGGAGAGAGGGTTGAACAGATGGCACAAAACTTGCCAAGGGGGGACAGAAACAAAAGACATGTGCCTTAACTTGGGCTCTGACCAACTATTGGCAGAGGACACTTTTCAACACTGTGGTGCCTGGCCCCTGAAGCTATTCTTTGAGGCATTTCAATGGAGGAGATAGCTAAGTTTAGGCTCAAGCGGAGCTTAAAAAATTTTTAATTGCTGGTTTAAAGGAAAAACATCTTGAATGTACCTTGTGGGAGAAGGCAGCAGCAGGCACAAGCACTGCAAAAGAAATGAGAGGCATGTAGGGTACCAGCCCCCTCAAGGGGATGGCTTGACCCCAAGCAGTCAGAGCGAACACCAGCACTAGACCACCAACAAATGCAGTGCCCAGTGAGCTCACGGAAAACAGCAGCAAGTGAGGATTGACACCCACTATAAACCCCCAGATAAAGAAATTCTGAAGGCTTAAGTGTCTGGGATTACTGCTGGGTGAGCAAGCATTCACCACCCCCTTCAGATTGGCCAAGGCAAGGGAGTCCTGGCAAACTTGCAACTGAGAAACCAGAAACCCAAGTTATACTTGGAGAAGCCCCGTGTTCTCAAGGGGACGACACTTGCTGAACTTCAACTCTGTAATTTAAGCTGCAGTGTGTGATCTTCTGGTCATTCAGAGTACTATATGGATCCCTGAGGCTACTGTGATCAAAGAAGGGAAGATCCATTTGTGGATGTGCTGCGGGCTCCATGACCCTGTCCCTCTCTTAATCACATATGGCATCCAGGGTGGGCCAAGAGTCCCTTCCCTTGAGAGACTGCCTGTGACACCTCATAAAAGCTCTACCTCTCCCCATGGACAAAGGGCCATCAGGACTGACTTGGCTGAATTGGTCTCTCAGGTCTAAAGAAAGAGATCTTGTAACCGTGGGACAGAGTAACCGACAGAGGATCCACCAGGAGCTCTGGAGTGTGGTGCCCCATGAATAACAGCTAACATTTATTTAGCACTTACAACAGTCCAGGAATGTGCTGCCTGCTATATATATACTGTTTTATGCCATTTAATCTTTTAATCATTCATATGGAGTAGACTATGAAAAATATTACTATTTTTCTTATTTTAGAGATGAAGGGGTGAAGATTCGGAGAAGATAACTTTCCAGAGCTCACACAGTAGGGATGAGGTGAAGTCTTACCAAGCTACTATCGTACATGACTCTCTCTTTCTTGAAGTGGATGGTCTCTCTTTTCAATAGGATCATTCTGCTGCCCTGTTTCACACTTGGAGAAGAGGAAATGGCTTAGAAGTTAGGAGAACAGAGATGGGACCGCTGGCTGAGGTCAGAGCAAGACTACGGCTGCCTGTGTCTTGTGGATAACAGCACAAGCAATACTCAGAAAACATCCAAACCCCCTTGGTATACACAGAGATGTGCCACACAGATGCCCCTTCAAATAAAGATTTATTGTCCTAACCATAAGTTCCCTCAGGATTTGCCTCAGCTGCAGAGAGCTGCCTTGCTCAAGATCTTGCTCTTCCCACAGTGGTGAACATGCAATGACTGATGGCGACAGAGGTACTATAACCCAGCCATCTCAGGCCATTTCAGCCCAGTGTAGAATAACTCTGATTGGCTGAAGCTTCGTAATGCCTGCATTGAAGTTTGACTTTTCCTCTGTCCAATCCTTCTTCTTCCCCCTTCTTGCTACTGGAGTGGGTCTCTAATAACTCCCTTGCATTCTAAACTCTGTCTCAACATCTGCTTCTAGAGATCTTAACCTGTGACACCCATGCACCAGGGTAGGCAAGCTCCTGGCTGTCCTCCCAGGAACGGGAGAACTCATCTGAACCCAAAGAAGACACTTGGTCTCCCTATGGGAAAGGCTAACACTGCTTCCCAACTTTTTCAGTGCCATGACCTCTAAGAAATCACAATAGTTGAGCAGCTCACTGAGGGAAATGAAGGAGGCTGCTTGGGACAGGGAGGACAGATCTGGAGTCTCTAACCTGCTGTCCTGTGGACTGAGGGTATACCAGTAACCCATTCAGGACACATTGGTTGGGAAGCTCCAGGCTAAAGATCACAGTGCTCTAAAAGCAAAAGAGGGTAGTTTTTAAAAAGTTGCGCATATATACATACTCACTAACTGGACTTGATTATGCAGACTAAAGACAATTGTAAGAGGCAAAATTATAAAACTTTTGTTAGAAGAATATCTTAATGAACTCAGGATAGGGGAGGACTTTTTAAATAAAATATACAAAAGAAGAAACCACAAAGGAGATTGATAGTTATACCTACATAAAAACTAAGAACTTCCATTCATCAAAAGATATCATGAAGAAACTAAAAAGACAAACTACAAACTGTGAAAAGATATTAGCAACAACAAAATAATATTATTAGCAAAGCATTCACATTCAGAATATATATAAAGAATTCCACCAAATGAGTAAGAAAAAGTCAAGCAATTTAGTAGACAAATGAGCAAAAGACATGAACACACATTTCACAAAAAATAGGAATGGCCATAAATATATGGAAAGATACTCAATCTTAGCAACCAGGAAAATACAAATGTCCATTATCAGGGAAAAATGAATGAGTAACAGCTACTCATATCCACGTAGATACAACTTGAAAACCCAGTGCTAGTGAACAAAGCAAATTACAGAAAGACATATGTTTGATTTCATTTACATAAATACATGTTTGATTCCATTAACAAAAACAGGAAAAACAGAATATATAAGACAAAACTACAAAGAAGAACAAGGAAACAGCTGACTTAAAATTCAGGACATGTTGTGGGGGAGGCAGGGAGTTGCATGGAGGGTCATTAAAGATGCTGATAATACTCTGTTTCAGGGTTGGCAGCCCATGAGCCAAACCCATTTCATCACCTTTTTTGTACAGCCTGTGAGCTAAGAGAGTTTTTGCATATTTTTAATGGTAGGGAAAAAAATAAAAGAAGAATAGTATTTTGTGACATGTGGGAATTATATGAAATTCAAAATTTCAGTGTCTATAAATGAAGCTCTGCTATAACAGAGCCATGCCCATTTGTTTATGTATTGTCCATCTTCCTCCACCTACCCCCAATATGTACGGCCATCCTTTCCCCCTGTTGGAAGATAATTTTCCATGTGTCTCTTATGTTTCCACATGTCTTATAAGCAGAGGTGCTGATTGCCTTTGTTCTGTTTTTCAAGGATATTTGCACAGCAAGTAGTCTTGGAAGACAGAGATAGTGTTTCTAGAGCAAAGAGCAGGCATGCTCACTGCCCATTACAAATGTTTCAGGTTCCCCAACCTCAGGGTTCCTCTTCTGTAACACAGCCCACTGTGTGTACATGTACTATCTGGCCCTCCTTACATTATCCTGTGCAATTTGGGAGTCAGAGAATCAGCCCAAGAAAATGCTAATACTCTGGCTACTGCTATTACTATGAGTAACAAACTGTCCTTTGTTTCTGATCCAGGAGTCTTGTGTCTTCTATCAAGATCTGTGAAAGTATGACAGAGTAAAATCTCAGACCATTCAAAGTTCTTGACACCACATCCCATGTTTAAAGATGAGAAAACTGAGGCCCAGAGAAGGGAAATGACTGAACCAAAGTCACTCCACTGACAAGTAGCAGTACTAGCACAGATCTCACATTTTCATGACTACCCATCCAGTGCTCATTCCCTGCCTCAGGCAGCTTCTCAGGATCTCTCCAGGCCTCTGAAGGATTTCAGACACTATCTTGCTTTTGTTTGGGTCTTCCAGACACACTTTGGTCCTTACCTTTCACGCTACATTTGAAGGTCTGACTGACCACTCCGGTATTGTTCTCCTTTTCTGCAGGCCACTGATACACGTAGACTGTGGTCCTGGAAGACCCGGCATCCAGCACGATTCCATACTTAATAAAAAAGCGAAGGGAAAGTCAGAAATGGGATTCTCCTTTTCTGCAGGCCACTGATACACGTAGACTGTGGTCCTGGAAGACCCGGCATCCAGTACGATTCCATACTTAATAAAAAAGCGAAGGGAAAGTCAGAAATGGGATGGGCCTCTCTGAGGAACCCTCACCACGGAGAACCCCAAATACCTTAATCCACACTGCTTCACTTAGGTAGGGCTGACCAAAAAGAGAAGATTATTTTCTCTGAACCAATTTGGCCCCTTGAACTGCGGGGGAAAGGGATAAGGTGAGACAGGTCATATTCTAGGACATGGTTCTCAATCTTGGCCACACACCAGAATCACCAGGGAAGCTTTTAAAACTCCCAATGCCAAGGCTGCATCCCAGGTCAATTAAATCAGAATCTCTAAGGGTGGACCCAGGCATCAACAGGTTTTAAACTTCCCCAGGTGATTTCAGTGCAGCCAAAGTTGAGAACTGTACTCCAAGGATCTTGCATACTAAGACAGGTCCTCTGAGTCCCCCCCCATCCAGACCCATGAGGTGAGGGACAGAAACCACCTGGGTCTCAGAAGGGAAAGGATGCTTAGTCACTCGGATGCCGTCCAGTTTTCAAACTTCCAGCTGATCAGCCTGGAAATGAACAATCAAGGAGAAACTACAGGAAGAACTTGTAAGAAGTTTTCACAAGGGACAGCCATGTAAAGGCCTATAACAGCCCTCAGAGTTAAAGTATTCATAATTAAGAGGAAAAAACAAACTAAAAAATAATATTAACATATTGCTCCCACTTTGGTAATATGCATGTGTGCAGACAGGCAGGTGTTGGTGGGCAGTGCTGGGGTGCACTCTCCCTCTCTCCTCCCTTCTTCCCACACTCTTACTAGTCTCTGGTAACTACTATTCTACTCTCCACTTCTATGAGACCAACTTTTTTAGCTTCCACACATGAGCTGTACACAGGACACTAGGCTGGGAGTCCTGGACTGTCTTGCTCAGCTTGAGACAGACACCAAGGAGTTTCATTCACCTGAAGGTATGGCCCAGCCCAGACCCTGGACCAAACCTGACCAGAAACGAACATGTATCAGCAGCCTATGGAGATCAGAATTAATGATGCTGACTTAAGCTCAGTGTCTGATTGTGCCTAGAGTCATCCCAGGGCAGGCAGAAGCCTTCAGGATGGCACCCTTCCCCCATTCCACCAGCGCTGGATTAGCCTAGGTTGTCCCATGGAAGAAGATGAAGTTGGATCTGCAGGCAGGTCAACCTGGATGAGTTCTTGATTTCACCATGATGGTAAGATGCCTAACCTCTCTAGGTTCCCTCATCTTTAGATAACTTACTATAAGAAGTAAATAGGAGGCCATATGTCTGATGCTTAGTGGCTGCTCAGTAAATACAGGCCATTATTATATATAGAAAAGCCAGTCAAGCAAAATAAACAAAAAGAGGAAAGAAAAGCAAATACTCCTGAAATCCAACTATTGTTTTCACCTTTGTTACGTATCTTTTCTAATGGTCTTCTGTACATACAGCTATATATATACACATATGTGTTTAGATGTATGTTTTTAAATTAACACAGGATCATACCAAACATAATTATTTTGCAATGCTCTTTTTTGGTGTGCTTACAATTTTCTTTCTTTCTTTTTATTGTGATAAAACATATACAACATACGAATTGCCATTATAAGTGTTTTTAAATACAGAATTGGGTGGAATTAATTACATTCACAATGCTGTGCAACCACTACCTCTGTCTATGTCCAAAACTTTTCCGTCATCCTAAAAATAAACTCTGTACCCATTAAGCAATCACTTCCCATTATTCTTTTCCCCTATTTCTAATAACCTTTAATCTACTTCTGTCTCTGAAATTTTTTTTCTTTTTAATTAATTTTTTTCTTAATTGACCCATGATAATTGTATATATTTATGTAGTATAATATGATATTTGGATACATTTATACTGTGTGCAATGATCACATCAAGATACTTAGCATATCCATCACCTCAAAAGTTTGTCACCTCTTTGTGCTGGGAATATTCAGCATCCTCTCAACTGGCTACTTGAAGTTATACAGTGATTTGTGTTGACTGTAGTCTCCGTATATTGCTGTAGAACACTAGATCTTATTCTTCCTATCATTCTACAATTTTATATCCACTGACCACCCTCTCCCTCTCCCTTCCGCCCTTCTCTCCCCACCCTCGCCAGTCTCTAGTAACCACTATTCTACTCTCCACTTCTACGAGACCAACTTTTTTAGCTTCCACATATGAGTGAGAACAGGTGGTATTTCTCTCTCTGTGCCTGGATTATTTCACTTCACATCATTTTCTCCAATGCAATGCTCTTTCCTTAATAGTATATCATCAACATCTCTTCCTGCCAGTAAAAATAAACTGATATCACCCTTTTCAGTACATTCATCACATCCACTGTGATACACAGAATAATTTATTTAACCAATTCCCTGATTCCAGCCATTTAGGAGGTTTCCAACATTCTGATGTTACAAATGCTTGCTTCATTTGAAATGAGATCAAATTTTAAGAAGTTGTTCTAGTTCCTGAATTATAGCTTCTCTATTACGCTGAAATAGAACATCCTGTGTACATTTATGTGATATTATGAAATATATATTTGGTCTTTGTCCCAGTTTCCTTCTAACTCCTAAAATCCTTGGAATCTTCAAAGTGATAAGTGTCTTTTGGTATGCTAATGAGTTGACAGGTGGCTGGCAGCCCCTAAGCAGCTTCAGGATGGGGGCTGGTCACAAGAAAGACCAAGGCAGGGTAAGAGGGTTGGGACTTTCACTTCTAGCTTCCAACATCTGGGGAGGGGAGAAGGGATAAGGTTAGGTTGGTCACTAATGGCCAATGATTTAATCAACCATGCATACATAATGAAGCCTCTATAAAAGCACAAAAGAAAGTGTTTGGCGAGCTTCTGGATAGCTGAACACATGGAAATTCCTGGAGGATGGCATGCCCAGGGAAGGCATGGAAGCTCCACGACCTCTTCCTCCATACCTCGCCCTGTGCATCTCTTCTTTTGTGTCCTTTGTAAAATCTTTCATAATAAACTGGTAATTGTAAGTAAGTGTTACCCCAAGTTCTGTGAGCTGTACTAGCAAATTAATCAAATCCAAGTAAGGGTGTCTTGGAATTGGCGATTTATAGCTGGTTGGTCAGAAGCGCAGATAAAATAATACAGGGCTTGCAATCGGAATCTGAAGTAGGGGACAGTCTTGTGGGACTGAGCCCTCTATCTGTGGGATCTGATGCTATCTCCAGGGAGATAGTGTCCGAATTGAACTAGAGGGCACCCAGCTGGTGTCTGCTGCAGAACTGATTGCTTGCTTGGTGTATGGGGAAAAACTCCCACACATCTGGTGTCAGAAGCATGCTGTGAGAGTATACTAGGAGAAACTGAGTTTGTTTTTTTCTTCTAAATTGGTATTCAAACCTGGACAGCCTCTTAATCTTAGCCTTTCAGTCTGATGAATGTTGATCGGGATCCTGATATAACATCTCCCATGGGGAACAAGGGTGGCATTGTTCAGTGTGTGCTAGGCAGAGACTCACGGTGAGATTAAAGTGCAGGTTGAAACTAAAAGCAACAAGGAAGGGGTCTGGGCCTCCATATTATCGGTTGGCTTTCTTTCCTCCCTCCTGCTGCCACCTGATCACCACCATTCCTTATTATCCTCTTGCTCTCCAAGGGGTAAACCAGGGCAGACCACAAGGCAATAGAAATGCAGGCTGATGAGCAAGACTCAATGAGGATTAGAAGGGAAGGATTTCAACACAGCCTGGCCACATGGCTGTGCCTTCGAGAGTAAGGCTGAGCACAGGCATGTGAACTAAAGCGGTCTATAATCTTGGATCCAACATGGGAAACTTATGTGGCTTGAGCAGGTCACTGCAGAAAAGCCCAGACCTGAAACCTGAAGACATGAAGGACCCATCTTCAACAGTGACATAATGTGGGTGCAAGGGGCAATGGCAATGGGGTGTTGATCATTGGACTGAAAAGCTCCAAGGTTCTGGGATGGTTGTGATTGGGGGTGGGTAGGCGAAGCCTCAAGAGGAAGATTTTGGACTTAATGATAATAAAGCAGGGGGACTCAAGTGAAAAATAAAAGGGACGGCATCACGTTTACTCTTCAAGCTTTGTGGAGCAGGTCAGACCAGTAGCACAAGGGACTGGTGATATTTTCATCCCTTGACTGAGTTTTAATAGTTCTGCTCTTCAACTCACATAAACCAAGGTCAGGCAAGCCAAGGTTGGATATAACAGCCAAATCTCACGACCTTTCGTGAGGGTCTTGTGTAACATTCCGGGACCCTGCAGACAGGCTGCCAAGGAGCTGTCCCCTCAGAACCAACTGTCAGCTGCACACAAAGGCAACACAGGGCTCCCGGTGTACAAACGTGAGCATGACAAACAGTTTAAAAACCCCTCCTATTCATTCAACTTTATTGCTACAACACTCTTCCCCACCCCCAGCACACACTGCAAAACAAAAGGAGAGGTCTCGCAATAGTCTGAGAAAAGCCACAGGAAAGCTCTCTTCCAAGGCTGTCATTCTGCTCCTGGTTCAACTGGCCCAGAACATCTGTCTTTTCTCACACTTAATCCTCCACCCCCAGCACACACTGCAAAACAAAAGGAGAGGTCTCGCAATAGTCTGAGAAAAGCCACGGGAAAGCTCTCTTCCAAGGCTGTCATTCTGCTCCTGGTTCAACTGGCCCAGAACATCTGTCTTTTCTCACACTTAATCCGCAGAGTTAGTTAGGCAGAATGGACCTTTGGAACCAATCTTCTTATGTTATACAACTTCCTGGCTCTTGTAACTGTGGCTAGAATCTGATAGCAAGGATCTGAAAAGATTTAAAATCCCCTCTTTGAATTCTATTCTATCTTTACTATTTTCTTTTTTAAAATATATTTAAAAATATTTTAATTGACACATAATAATTGTACATATTTATGGGGTTCGCTGTAATATTTTGATACATATATACAGTGTGTAATGATCATATTAGGGTAATTAGCATATACATCACCTCAGACATTTATCATTTCTTTGTGGTGCGGACATTCAAAATCCTCTCTTCTGTATAAACATGAGAAGCTATTTGCCATTCTGTTGGAGGGAGCAGGACTGAAGCCATGCTGGGACCTAAAACCATATGGGCTGCAGGCAAATTTTTAAAAGACACAATTTTTTTCTCAGAATGCATTTCTCTGAGTTCCCTCTTTTCCCATGGTTATTTGATATTTTGAACGTTGGTTATGGGGCAAGATGACATTATTTACATGAATGTAAAGTTGTTTTCCAGTCAGTCTGAAGCTGCGGACTTGCATGTACTAACCAGACACTGACATAAGGATGGGAGCAGAGACCAGGCAGAGTCTTGGTGAGACTTTGTGGTGAGACTTTGTACTGAGATCTTGCATGAAGCCCTCACTGCTCACGTCCCCCTCCCTCCTGCTTTTTATTTCCCAAATTCCATTTTCTCACTCCCCTCTTTAAAAACCCCTCAGTAAATCTGAGTCTTTGAGATGGCTTTAGCCTGGCCATTCTCCTTCTGGCTTACTGGAGAGGAGGGTTAGCCTAATATCTCCCCTTAGGTCACCAATATTCCTGAATAAAAGCTGACTTCCATTTTTACCAACATTTGACTTTGTTGTTTTTTGTCTGGGGGCAGGCAGCCGGACCTGTGAGTTTGGTATCAATTTTGGGGAGCCTCAGCTGGGAGCTAAGTATGCCCTGTGACACTTCCTTCTCCTGTTTTCTCATAAGACCTTACTACTGTGGTGGACAACCATCCACCTCCCACCTGCCTGGAGGCTCTCTCTAGTGGCCCAAGCCTACCTGAGCACACAATATGACAGAAACTAGAGAGTTAATGTCCCCCAGGGAGCAGCCTCTCAACCCGTGACTGATGGAAGTTGGTTATAATCATGCCCTTGAGTGAAACAACTGAGGGGAATGTGTCTCTGCACCCCTTGATATGGGATAACTCTGAGGTGAATTCTACACTGTTTCCCAGAGATCCCCAGCAGCACTGAGCCCCAGGTGTCCACAGTGCTAACACTTTGGATAACAGCTCCTTCTTGTCTGCCTTACCTCCTGTCTCACTTCCCCATTCTCCTACCCATGCTTCCTGTGATCACACCCACATGATCTACTTGCACTCACATCCTTGACTAGGGGAACTCAACCTAAGACAGCAGCATTAAACATGTGAGGTCCTGCGTTCCGGTCAAGATGGCAGAATAGATGGTCCCCAGCACCACTCTCTCCTACAAATCAACCAATTTACAACTACAAAAATGTAACATCAGCCAAGCTGGGGCTGCTGGAGCTCAGGGGAAGAAGAGGAGAGACCTATGGAGTTCATGAAGGTGGGAGAAACCATTATGAGAGAAAGAAAAAACTTCTCAGAGCATTTCGGGCCACAGCCACTTTAAGGCTGGAACTGCTGAGTGCATGGAGCAGGAGCCAGCAGGAAATGCAGCTCTGCCCTTTGGATGGAGTTGCTTGGAGGCAGCAGGGGAGAAGAGGGCGTTGGTGGCCCCAGGACAGCAAGACCACTAATGGGGCTCCCGTGGACCCACGCCTGAGCAAGGAGCCAGAACAACTGAAAAAGGGGAGCCATTCAGAGGCCGGTGAGTCAGTGCAAGGGACCAGTGCAGGGCCCGTCCCATGGGAAGTGTTTGGAGCATGGGCGGTGGGGGAGATGGGCCCACAGGGAGAACACTGGAGTACAGCAAGGACAGCCAATTGGCTCCCCAATCAGTGCAGGACCATTCAGAGGAGACTGGTCAGGAATGCAGAATTGCATGGGGTGCAGTTTGATGAAAAAACTCAGGCCCAGATCAGAGTTTCTGCACAACCCAGGTGCACTGGGCCTCTGGAGAGCCGGAAGTACCTATAAAGTCAACTTTAAACCCTGAGCTGCACAAAAAGCCTTCCCTAGGAAATCAGCAGCAAAGTGGCAATTTAGCTCAACCACATAGCTCAAGTACTGGTTCCCACAGGAAGTTCACCCATTTTAGAAGTAAGCAAAGGAGATGGCTCAGTTGATTAGGCTCAGCCATGTAACACCAAGGTCATGGGTTCAGATCCCCCTACTGGCCAGCCACCAAAAAAAAAGAAGAACTAAGCAAAGGACAAAAAATTAGTTCTGGCCCAGGCACACCACCAGAACCTTGGGATCCACCAGGGGACCTGAGGCATGGAGCTGGAAACTGGACCACACTCCCACATCCAGGCACACTGCCAGTGCCTTGGGGCCCTGCCCAGGGGCCTGGGGCATCAAGCCAGGGACTAGACCCCCCACCCACAACCAGGCACACTACCAGTGCCAAGAAGCATGCCAAAAACATCACCTCCATGTGGGTGGCCCACCACAGCCACTACAGTAACCACAGCTGCCACAAAAGTGGCTATATGTCACAGCCACCACACAGATGGTCCACCAGCTGCTGGAGTGCATTGACACAAGGAGAGTCACCAGCAGAGACCAAAGAAAAGAAAAGGACGTCTCTCTCCACAAAGCCCATTCCAGAGTGAGAGAAGAAGCATCTGCTCTATGATAATATTGGGGGACCTGAACACACCTTTCAGCATTGGACAGATCATCTATGCAACAAATCAACAGAGTAACCATTACTCTTTCAGAGGGAGAGAAGAAATCTAGGGTCATCAGTGGTGGGAGTGGGAGGCAGAGGAGGATGGGGAGAGACTGGACAAGGGGCATAAAGAATAAATACAATTTGTAACAATATATATACTAATAATATTGATTTGGTCAACATATATCCACACTGAACCCCCAAAATATGTATAATCAACTATGATTCAATAAGAAAAAACAAAACTGAGCCAATATGAAATAGATAACCTGTGTAGCTCTGTAACTATTAAAGAAATTGAATTTGTTATAAAACAGCTCCCTGTACTCCGACCCCCCCCCCAAAAAAAAATGAAAAAGAAAATAAACATGTGAGGTCCTCTCCTTCCACGGTGCCCTCTATATTGCCCTGGGATCCACTTCTCTCCACTCAGTTTACTCCTCTGGTCTTCCATCTAATTCCTCCAAGTCCCTTCAGTATGAACAGAGGGCATACCTCACACCTCCCAGAACGAGTGGAGGCCATCAGCTCGCAACTGCCTTAACCAGCCCATCCCCAACATTTGTGGGGACAGAAGCAAAATTTTATAAATGGAGGCTCTGCCTTGTCTCCTCACCTCCAAACCTGTTCTCTTCCCACCCCTGGAAAATTCAGAGTAAAGAGCCTCATGCGCCTGTGTGTGGACAGCTCAGACCCCACCTCCTGTACTCAGTATGTCAAATACATACTATATTTTAAACACAGTACTTTATAGAAGAAAGCAATGCTGGGAGCTTGGGAAAACACCTTCTCTAGGTCTCAGCAAATGTCTTTGGACAACCAGATAATTAGTTTTCCTCTTATTCATGAAGGCTGAGATTCTTAAGTAAAATATCCTATCAAGGAACCAAATGCCATTATCTAAAGGAGATTATACTCTAATCCTTTAGAAAAGTAGCCTCAGAATGTTAGATCAAACCCACCCACAGAGCCCAAGGCAGTATTAGTTTCTTTTCTTGCAAAAACTTCTGCATATTTCAAATATAGCTTTTGAACAATTACTAATAGCAGGAAGATTTGGAAAGGACTTGTGAGGTCAAGTGTAACTGCTAAATGAGATTCAAATCACAGGGCTGAATTACCTGGACCCTATGGTCCTCCAGCTGAGAAGGGTTTGTACATTTTTAATGAATCAAAAAACAAAGAATAACACACAACAGACTATAAGTGGCCTCAAAGCCTAAAACATATACTTTTTGGCCCTTTACAGAAAAAGTTTGCTGACCCATAGCCAAAATGATTGAAGGATCCACTGATTCTTGTCACCTTTCACTTCACAGCCCCTCGTGGGATCACCTCTCATCTCCAAGGGCATCCTCAAAGCCACTGGAGTGAAATATTATAATTCTCAGCTCACCAGAAATGATCTAAGAGGCCACTGGGAATGAACTTATCAAGTGCTGAGAGAGGCCTCTGGAACTAAGCACAAAGTTTGGAGTAATTTTTTGGAGAGGAAAGGTTATGGGGATCATGGCACATGTCCTAGACCCTAGAGAGGCAGCACAAATACAGCTCAAGGAGACCTTCTGAAGTCGTTGATGTTTTGTTCACCCAGGCTAGGCCAGAAGAGGATCCTGGTCTCCTGGTCTTCACTCATAATCAGGGTTGTGTGGTCTGGGGGAACGGGCAAGCTGGTAAAAATGGAAACTGCACCAACTGGTAAATCTTTGGTAGCCTTCTGCAATTCCTAGCTATACACTTTAGCTTTGGTTCCTACAGTCAGAAGTCAAAGCGAGACCACATAGTTTTTGGAGAAGGTGTCAATACCCTCAGTCTGTAGCCTCAAACATCATAAACCTAGTGTATCCAGACCTTCTCCCTTGGGTCTTATACCTCCTTCTCCTGCTCCAGCCAGAGGCAGGGGGAAAGGACTTTCTTCCTTTCTAACTCGTGGTTTTAGAACGATTGATGCCATAGCCCATTTCTTTCCTTTGATGCCAATCCCTTCACTCTTACCTTCAGTCCTGGAGAAAGGACCTCTTGCTTGTGGATCTGGATGAGTGTGACAGACACAAGAATCACAACACTCACAAGCAACAACACCAAGGTGATGATGGCTGGAGTACGGTAGAGGGCCTTGAGGCCTAAAATGGAAAGACCCAGAAGACACATGAGGGGAAAGTAGGAACCAGGCACTGGCCTTCTTTGTAGAATCCATGGACCAGGCCCATAATCATGTGCATAAGTCACTTTGTCTGGCTTTATTGAGACCCTGCACTATAAAGGCAGAGCAGCGGTTGGGCTTCAATACCCATATTTCATTCCCCCCAAATTGTGTACTAAAACAGTGTTTGCAGAGAGGGTATGCATGGTCTAGTTTTCTAGTATTTCTCAAATGCATATTACTAGTCATTCCTGAGATGATTTACAATAAAAGTTGTTTTAATGTAGGTTTTAAAAATTTGGGTTTTCTATTAAAGCAGGTGATATAATATTCCATCTAAAAATAATGTTGGGGCTGTCAATTAGCTCACTTGGGAGACCATGGTGCTGATAACAGCAAGGTCAGGGGTTCAGATCGCCATAGCAGCCAGCCACCAAACAACAATAACAATAATAATGATAATATAATCTCAGTTAAGTAAAAAGAAATTAGTACTATACTAAAATGATTCCGTTTATGTGAAGGTCTAAAACAGGCAGGTAACAGAAATCACAACAGCGACTGCCTGGTGGTTTGGTGCAGGGATTCAGTGGAAATGTACATGTGGGCACTTTCTGGGGTATTGGAAATGATTTATATCTTAATAGGATTGTGGGATATAAGGGTGTGTACATTTGTCAAAACTCATCAAACCTTTCAAAGTCCTTTAGGGAAAAGTTGAAAATCAAAGTAAACCAGCTTCTTAGGTACAATTACCCTTAAAAAAAATATACCTGATCTAGGGGAACAACTTAAGATCTACCTATTTAACTTTATATAAATTATATCTAGCTTTTAAAAAGATAAAAAAACATTCAGTTAAAAAACTGACTAAATGATAGTCTTAGTAGAACTATTAGGGCATAAATATAAATGGCACCCAAATGGCTAAAATACGGTAAACATTGGCATAATAGAAAGATCACTGGATTCAGAGAATCCCATAAGCTTCTCACCAATTGGTTATTTAAATGTAAATTAATTCGAATTAAATAAAATTAAAAACTCAGTTTCACAGTCTCACTAGCCACATTTCAAGTGTTCAATAACCACATATGGGGTAGTGGCCACCATATTGGACAGTGCAACTACAGAACATTTCCATCATTGCAGAAAGTTCTACTGAATAGCAACTAGGTAGATCCTGCCCTATTCCAGAACATTTACTGTTGTTTTATCCCTTCATTATTTTTAGGAGACATTCTCATGGAAGTAAAAAGGTGCATGTATGCCATCATGATAGGATTAGATTCAGCCCCAATATCCATTCACATCACAACACTGACTACTTGGGGTGAGCAGTCATACAGTGGGTCTCAGTGGCTCAAAATAGCCAAATCTATCTGCCCCATCTGATTCCCCTGCAATATAGAGATAGTCACAGACACTTCCTGATGTCAAAAGTAGTCACAATACCTTCATTCTCCTACCTTGACATTGGGAGTGTAAACTGGTACAGCATCACTAAAAGGCAATTTGTCAATGTTTATCAAAATTTTAAATGAGCATACCATCTGATTTGCAATCTCACTTTTTGTCCCACAGAACTAGACCCATGTGTGTAAAATAACTTATGCACATGGTTATTTGTAATGCAGAATCATTTGTAATAGCAACTGGGGTAGGAGGGTAAACAGCC